GTCGCAGTGCGTGTTGCCCCACTCATCTCAGGAGCGGTTGATCTCACAGGCCATTTTATCTGTAACAGGGGTGATAGAGTCCACTTCTCCATCCAGGGCATGAGCTCGAAGGGCCATGAGAATGTGGGGTCGCCAGCTCAGCGCGGTCACCGGAGGGCGTGGTCGCCTGCCAGCACACGAGATAAAATCCACCGGCACAACGTTCTTGCCAATAGACTGAATGGTCCGTAATGGCTCGCTCCCCCTGCTTCGTTGGCACGGAGAAATGCGTTGATCCTCTTTTTGCTCATCTGTGTACTTTACTTTGGCAGATCCAAGGGATTTGGGCGCATTCAACAAGACTTTCTCGCTGAACACGACCCCAGTCGACTTCTCAGGAATGACGAACCTGTTCAATACGAGCATCGAGTGTCCCGCAAGCACCTCAAACCCAACATCTTCGAGCGCGTCCATCTCCCTCGACGTCGGCGCCGACTTGCACTTGTCCATAGGCCTTGGCGCCGTCGTCGCGGGCTCACTCATCCCCCCGGACATCTCTGAGTTTGGGTTGTATTTCGGTGTGTTAAGCTGTGTGCTAGCCTAGGTCTCCCAAAGACAAAGATTGACAACGTCGGTAATCTCTGTGTAGCGCTGGACGGGAACGTCGACGCAAATTTAAGCGTCGTGGCCAATATCTCTGGGCAGGTCAGCTCTGGCAACATCACGCTCTTCCAGATCGGTATTCCAGGCCTCTCTTTCCCTGGGTAGGTAGGCGTGTGCCTGGGTCCTCTTCAAACCACGAAAAGAAAGACTACTTACTACCGATCGTAGCATCTTCGAGATCGGTCCAGAATTCAAATTGATGAGCGAGATCGATGTAGCTGGACAAGACAACATCAGCGCGGTCGTCGACCTGAATTACGATCTCAGTGGCGTCTCCCTCGTCTTCCCGGCCCAAGCCAGTTCGAATGTAGGTGGACTCACTCCAGGCACCAGTCGTGAGTCCTTCCTTTATCTTCTGTTCCCCATCGCCACGCTCCGTCCCGTCCTGCCCATATTGATCCAATTTGAAACCCATTCACAGATGTGACGGTTTCCGCCAGCCCAGATATAGGCGCGACGTTCGATGTGGCAGGCCACCTCATCCCGCAAGTCGACATCGGACTATCCGCACTAGGCCTAGTCTCCACGAACGTGTTCCTGAAACTCGACGCCTCGGCCGACTTCACCGTATCCACCAACGTCGGCGCCTCCGCGGGCGCGAACCCACAGTCGTGCGTGAGCGCGAGCACAGATATCAACGTTGGTGTGGGCGCGGAGGGATCCTTCTTCGGCATTTTTCACGCGTCTGAGAGCAAGTCGCTCTTCGACAAGGAATTCCCGATTATCCAGGTGCGCAGCTACGAGATTCTCGTGTTTTTTTTTGTTTCTTCTCATCTCCCCCACCCTGAACCGTGACAGAAATGCTTCGCGTCAGCGAATTCGAGTTCGGCGACGACCAATTTAAGGCGTCGCCATGACGATCTCCGGGCACGACACCCCGCTCCGTTGGGAGGATCGCTAACTTCTCTTCATGTCAAGCGTCTCGACTTTGGCTGCCCCTAGGTTCTAAAGTAAGGTGACTATTTCTATTCGAATAAGGACCATAAGGACCATAAGACTCCTGCACAAACTGCAATTGATATTATACCCATATATTATGTGACAAATGTAGTTGAACAAGATGAAAGCGTCGTCAACAATAGTTGCAGTGACAGAGATTACCGTCCGATAGTAAGATCACGACGAGCGCACGCCTGAAATCAGTGTCATACATTGCTGGAACGCCGATGAGTGGTTTCTGTAACTGGACGACACGAACGTGATGGGACGGACCGTGCGGAGGGCATTTATCAACCATCGACCTCCTAGAACCTGCCTCTGTCCCAGCGAGAAACTGCTATTGGGTGACTGGTGGTCTGTCGTGTGGCAACGAACTGTTGAATGCCTTTCTGGATAGGACCCAAAGAACCCGATGGTTGGGGCTCCTCCAAGAAAATATTCTGCAGGGTGGGCAACACCGTCGCTCTGCCTCCAACGAGTTCTTGCAGGGCAGGCACGATACGTTGCGCAAGTTTCTCGGATAGGTAGATATTCTTCACAGCGGTAAATGGGTGTAATAGTTCCAACCAAAGTTGGTTCTCGATGTTGTCTTTCCACTCTGGTTGCGAATGTCGCGCCTCGTAGATGTAGAGCTCCTCCAACATGGAAATGGGGGCAAGCACGAGGTGCAGAGCTGCTCCACAGACGAAACTTGCCAATCGAACTCTCTGCATAAGATTTGCACGTTGAGTTTTCCGTGCTCAGACGCCTGTGGCGAGAGGTTGACACTAGCCGCGTGGCCCAGAAAGACGATACGGGCTTTTCGAGGGGTTTCAACGTTGGTGTGCGATGGATGAATTGGGCGAATTGTGTTGAGTCGAATACAACTTGATTGAAGAAAGTTATATTCAAGACTTCGAGTCGAGGGGTATCGATGCGGGTCATGAGGTCCTCCACGTATTCGGGAACCCCTTTGAACTGAAAGGTTGTGAGAGCGGGAAGGACAGTCCGCGTCGGGGGAGGCGGACGTCGGCTTTCCCGCTCAGGGCAAGATAGAGGGGACTGGAAATCAAGCCAAAGTGTTTGGAGGCTGGTCAGCGTGGAGAGGGCAGTGACCATAGCCTCGGGTGAAAAATACCCGGAATGAGGAACACCCAAAGAAAAATATTGACGAGGTGAGTGGTGGATAAAAGTAGTTTCGGTAAACCTGGAAATGGAACGTGTTCCAACCGGAGGAGTCGCAGACGTGGGGCTGATCCACCCAAGAACGAATCGGGAAGGGCTTGCACTGTTCCGGTTTTACCCTGCAAGCGGAGCTGCAGTTCTGTTAGCTCTGGGAATGGCCCCTGCATTGCTGCCAAAACTTTTTCGACTGGCGAACTTGGATTAGCATAGAGTTCGATATTATCCACGCGATTGCTGCGCTCGAGTACCGCGACGATGCTGTCCACGCCTTCTGCTCGGAAGGCCCTGTCCTGAACAAGGAGAGGCAGGGCTGGCCAGACATCCAACGTGTCCCTCGCGGGTGTTTTAGATGTGCAGACAAGTCGCAGATTCAGCCGACGTGGTGATCCGAAAACAACACCTCTCCACCGTCGGCACACGTGGACCAGTGACTGCCACGCCTCTATCTCGTTTTTAAAGTTATGACCTTGATGCGCATAGAAATCGAATATTGCTAGTAGGACATCATTAGGGAGCATGTCGATTGATATCAGCTGGCCTACGTCGCATAGAGTCAGTCAGCAATCGTGGCAGGCCTTGCGGGTTGTTCCGTCAAGTGCCGCGCAAAGCACGTACGTTGACTTCGGTTGGTGCCAGTCCATCGATGTGCACGGTCTTCTGGCATCAGCGATTTTTCTGAACAGGGATCCATTAGAGGAGAGGGTGGTAGGAGTATGGAAAGGAGACTTGATGTCAGTTGATGACGACAGGGAATTGGTGTCGGGGCCGTTGGGGTTTCAATTGAAGACGCCGGTTGCCATGAGATTGCAAATTTATACCACCTTTACTAACACTGCCACAACATTCTATACACACCGCAATTACTGTACAGTACACCGCATTGCTGATGTGAGACCCGTAGTTCTCTCTCACTCACCATGTGGACACTCGCGCCCATCGGCCCATCATGATGTTGCTATGTACCGCAATTCTCCGCGCGGCCTGAGGGCATGAACTTAAATTGAAGTACAATGCGAGGATGGGGCCGCCAGCTCGGCACGTTTGCCAGCCACGAGATCCACATTCTTTGCCAGTGGGCGAAATGATTCGTGAAGCCCACTCGTGACTCGGAGTCGTGACTCGGAGGACTGCACGGTTGACAAGTGCGCTGGTTTCCTTTATTTTTGCACCATGTACGTACTGACTTCGGCAGCTTCGACGGATGTGGGCGCATTCAACCAGACCTTCTCGCTGAATGCGACTCCGCTTGACTTTCCAAGTGACGAACGTGTTCAATACGAGCATCATCGAGTATCCGGCAAGCACCGCAACGTCTGCACGTGACCATAGTCCTTGGTTGGACATCATCTCACTCATCCTATCCGGTATCCCACTTGTTTTATAACACACCGAAAACGACAATGGGAACTCAATAAGATTACAGTGCCATAATAGAGACAAATGGTCATGATGATACCTTCTTACATCCATTCTCACCCAGCCTGAGTCACACCATGTCCATTGTGGACTCGCTCGGTTTACAGCAAAAGATTATGGTGAGCCATTGTCGATTCACTGCATTTTGAGGGCTTTCCGGCCACCTCTGACCTGCGTGTGCGTCAACCACCCCTTGATAGCTCTACTTCCTCTCCGCCGCATGCATTCCTTGAGTCCTTGCTTTGACATTTTCGCTACTGCCAAGACCACCACCAATAGGACACGCACGGTCGCTCTGGTGTGAGCAGAACCAAGCTGATGCGCTCGACCAGTGCGCGCAAGCCAGCCGATCAGCCAGAGAATGGAGGGAGTTAAGAACAGTAGGACTCAGCTCCCCCCTGCGTGCCGTTGCCGCCGCTACGGAGGGATCCCGCTTTTACCGTTCTCCAGCATTGCCTCGTCGGATGCTAACGCACACCCTGCGTTGGACGACGATCTTGCGCTTGACGCACACATTCATTCTCTAAAGCGCTCAATATTCGCGTCGGGCGGTGTGGGGCACCCCACATAGGTGGCGGGAGCAAGCGCCCCATTACAACAGGTGCTGCCAGAGTAGCAACAGCAAGAGCTCTATACTACTCGTAGTCCTTATTGTTTGTCAAACTGGTGACGTTTCCTCGCTCTTAGAAACAGCTTATTCGTTAGCATTAAATCGCATCGTTATCGTCCCCTTAGTTCTTTGTGTGATTTGACATCGCTTGGTCGACGTGATTCGTGAAATCAGACAATGGACTGCGTTCATTTGAGGAAAAAAGATCATTTTCTTTTTGTCAGATAAGTACACCGAACAGGAATCGAACCCGTGTCTATTACGGAGTGATGATTACTCAGAACATCACCACTGTTCTGCAAGTAATCATCACCCATAACTCATGATACCACTTCACCATCGGCGTAACCTTGCTACACAACATCATTCGGAGCAGATGCAGAACGATATCCTCGGCCATGAACTTCGGACCGCGTACCACCACATCCAACCCTAACCCCAAAACAAACCCCAGACCACGCATGAGACCATGCATACGTTCATTGAAGGCGGCAAAAAATTTGCAAATACAATAAATCTAGGAATATACTGTTCCCCGTCCTTACTCGTTGAGTCAGGTTAACAAGATTGCATTTGGATCGGCAAGTGATGTACGGTAACAGCAACGCTATGTAAGAATGCTTGGACGCATTGATACGCGGCCCGGGAGGCGCAGGCAGGTCCATGTATAAGTGACTAAGTGGGTGCCGGTGAGCGCAGAGCGCTGATGCTAGAAGCGGAAATAGTCTCTAACCACTGGTTACACCTCCCGTACTAGAGGTTCTCCGGTTCGTCACATTACAATAAACATTCTGTACAAAGCGTTGAGTCCAGAGGCGCTGCGTCCGCACTCGCCGCCGCTGCAATCGGTATCCTGTAACTGTAAAAGTTTAGAGGGCGGTGGCAGTGGTGCAGGTGTCGGACATTGGGTATCAACAATCATTGAAGATTGCTCCTGCTAAGGCTTGGCGTCATCTTGGTCCGAGTCATTGCGGGCTGGGGGTCAGTTACGAGTCGTGTCGGTGACGCATATTCAACGAGACGAAAGATAGCTTCTTGCCTTGGGCTTGCGGGGTAAAGCAAGGGGTAAAGCACAAGATTCTGTCGAAATCGGTCATGGGAAGGGTGAGTGTAGCGGCCAAGAAGCCAGGCACAAGCCTCGTCTGTAGTTGCCAAGGTAGTGGCAGTTAGTTTCTCGAAATAATCAGCGGGATTGTCGCACAGTACCGTATAACCCGTCACACGGGGGAGCTCAACTCGGCTTGGGCACCAGAATCAGCTCCGTGCTGAAGAAGGACACGCGTAACTTTCACGAGCCCACTTTGTGATGCCAGATGAAATGGGATCGATCCATACTTGTTGTGGGCATTCACATCTGCACCGTGCTCTAGAAGTGTGTGAGCAAATTCTGCATATTTCTGTGAGTTCTTGCTCCAGTATGATGGAGTCGACACCAGATGTAATGGAGTCTCCCCGTTCTTGTTCCGAACAGCCACATCTGCGCCATGCTCAACAAGCACGCGAGCGACTTTCACTTGTCCTCGGATCAATGCCAGATGTAATGGGGTCTGCCCATCCTTGTTCTTGGCTGTTACATCCGCGCCGCGCTCGATAAGCATGTAAGCGACTTGAACAAGCCGATGAATCAACGCGAGATGTAACGGAGTGTCCCCATCCATGTTCTGGGCTGTTAAATCTGCCCCGCGTCTAATAATTATGCGGGCTAATCCCACTTGTCCTTGAACCAATGCCAGATGTAATGGTGTCACCCCATCGTTGTTCTTGGCTGTTACATCCGCGCCACGCTCAATGAGCATGTAAGCGACTTGAAAATGACAATGAATCAACGCAAGATGTAATGGAGTGTCCCCATCCTTGGTCTTGGCTGTTTCATCCGCGCCGCGCTCAATGACCATGTAAGCCACATCCACTTGTCGTTGAATCAATGCCAGATGCAATATGGTCTCCCCATCCTTGTTCTGGACTGTCACGTCCGCGCCGCACTCAATAAGCATGAGAGCGATTCCCACTTGTCTCTTGATCAATACCAGGTGCAAAGGAGTCTCCCCATCCTTGTTCTGGACCGTCATATCCGCGCCGTGCTCAATTAGCACGCGAGCGACTTTCACTTGTCTTCGGGCCGACACCAGATGTAATGGCGTCTCCCCGTCCTTGTTCTTGGCTGCCATATCCGCGCCATGCTCAATAAGCAAGCGAGCGACTTCTACTTGTCCTCGAATCATCGCCAGATGTAATGGAGTGTTCCCGGCCTTGTTTCGGGCTGTCACGTCCGCACCGCGCTTAATGAGCACGCGAGCGACTTGCACTCGTCCCTGAATCGACGCCAGATGTAATGGAGTCTCGCCATTTTTATTCTGGGCTGTGATATCCGCGCCGCGCTTAATAAGCATGCAAGTGAGAGCCACTTGTCTCTGTCGTGACAGCAGATGTAATGGAGTCTCCCCATCCTTGTTCTGAGATGTCACATCCACACCGCGTTTAATAAGCATGCGAGCAAATTCCACTTGTCTTCGGATCAGCGCAAGATGTAATAAGGTCTCCCCATCCTTGTTCTGGGCTGTCACGTCCGTGCCGCAATCAAAAAGTATGCGGGCAACTTCCACTTGTCTTTGAATGAATGCTACATGAAATGGAGTCTTCCCGTCCTTGTTCTGGGCCGCCGTATCCGCGCCGCGCTCCATGAGCACGTGAGCGACTTCCACTTGTCCCTCTTGCGACGCCAGATGTAATGGAGTATCTCTGTCCTTGTTCTGAGCCGCCACATCCGCACCATGCTCGATCAGAATGCGAACAGTTTTCACGTGTCCGAGCTTTGACGCCAGATGTAATGGGGTCTCGTGGTTGGTGAAACTTCGAGAGTGCACATCCTGTGAGCGCTCGATGACCAGGAACTCTACTATGAAATGTAAGCCACAAAGAGCGGCATAGTGCAAGGGGGTTCCGCGGAGTGGCAACGGCCGTTTATCTCGTGAGTTTCGTCTCCTCCGCGAACTCTCTGGGCCGTATATCCAGACCCAGACCGCAAGATGTGGTTTTCTCGGGTCAAACAGTTGCTTCGTGCCACTCTCCACATGTCGCAACACGTCCTCGAATTGGGCATGGTCAGCCCAGTATTCCGCAGCATATTCGGCGAGAGGCCATTCCTCCAGACTGTCACTGGTGACAGTATCCTTATTAAGATGTAGCAGAACGCCCAAACTGGCCTGTGCCGCAAGGATATGAGAAGGTGTCATAGAAAGATGATACCGGCGGAGAATAATGTCGCTTGCTTCAGCAAGGCGGGAGGATATCAAGAACTCTTTCACTGAAAAGTGAGAGAATTGTACAACTTTTCCGAAAGGAGATCCACCATCGACAATTGCAAGCAAACTGGAGCATGTAGACAGAACTGCGTCTACTGGATCTTCCAGGCGCCAACCTCATAAAATTTCGGAATGGGTCCTGCCTTGAAATCGAATGCAAGCAACTCTGCGAGTTCCTCGGCGCGGAGCGGACGGGAAGCGACTGCAACAAACTGAAAAAGACGATGGGCGTATTCCCAGTATGCCTTGTTGATCTCTCGCAAGGTGCGCTGATATGTTTCGTCAAGCGTCTCTGGCAAGTGGGCAAGTGCATGCTCGATACGTGCTGGGATACAGCCGCAGATGTAGAACACCTGACAGTCTACCCATCTGAACCTAAGGTACATCGCAGAAATGAGCGAAAATCATTATTATTCAGGATTGACGCCTTACATCCCATCAGCTTTTCCCGTGAGGACGTCGATGACCAGTTGCCTGTGCTCCGCTTTCCACTGACTATTTTTGGGATGCGCATTTATGACTGATTTGATATAGTCTTCGATGTCTCTCTTTTGTCCTCTCTCGTCATGAAGGGAGATCCAGCGAGGGTTCAAGGGATTACTATTTGCACACTGCACTGGTCCAAAATTGACCTGGACGGATTTCGGTGACGCAGAAATCGTGGACCGCCTTGACGTGCGAGTAGTTACGCACCAGCGTAGTGACCTTGAGACCTACCAAGGGCCAGGATCTTAACTTAGCCAAGAAACAGCACCTAAATGGGAAAAAAAGTGGAAAAATCCAGACACTGACTACATTGGCATTACTGTAGCTCGTGGCACCACGGAGCTCTGATGTTGCGCGTCGCGCCAGTGTAGAAAACGGTAGATACCGCTTCTGGCATTCATAGTCATCGTGAGAACCGCACAGGTTCTACACGGTGGAGGGGTCAGATTTTAAGATGACTCCAGAAGGGCGGTGTACCTCATTCTGTCTCCGTCACCAGTTGTACCGCAGTTGTACTGCACCAACAGGATATCGTAAGCGCTGCGGACAACGGCGGATGCCGCAGGCTCAGTGAAGATCAGATGATCTAATCGGACTTGATCTCCACCAATGGCCAGCAACCTGAGCGACGCTGACACTCGCATTATCCTCGACGGGCTCGCCCGTTTGAAACCACCCACTCTATCTCAGTCCGTTCACCGTGAAGAATGCACCCAGTGTTTCGATAACCAGGTGCGGCCTCGATCGAGAATCGACATAATCAGGTCTCGTGACACCCGCTCACTCTTTGTTCGCCACCGCAGGACGATCCTGAGGGAATCGACGTTTGCCTTACCTGCTTCAACGGTGGTTGTGTCTCTGCGGAGCGCCACCACGCATATACGCATTACAAAAAGACGGGCCATGCCTTTGCGCTCAACGTCAAGCGGCGAGCGAGCTCCAGACCGAAGCGCGTGCGTGCATCGTCGAGTCATCTTCCCCTCTCATCCTACTTGACAATCGAGAGAACTGACAGTAGAAAGATTTAGGTTGACGTTGACGCGGAACCCCCGGCGAAAATGACGAAGCTTGCGATCATTGAGGAGCGCGAGGAGGACAAGTACGAGCACGTCCTCACCCTGCGGCACTATCGCAATGGTGCTGCGGCCGCCACTGCTCTGGACTCCTCCGCTGCTATCTCAGTCCCCGCAGAAGGAATTGTGCGCGCTGACGAGCACGTTCGTACGCTTGTCGACGGCGTCATGAAGTCGCTCTCGTCTGCGCGCCAGGAGGAGGTCCAAGCTTGGGAGGAGGATATTTTGCCCTGCGAGCATACGTTTACGCTCTTCCAGCTTACCACTGGCCACATTCCCGCGTCCGGTGCGTGCGGGCCTCCTCTCTTCCTATTTCTGCAGCTTAGATTGACTTCTGGGGGGCATCCGGCGACCAAGGATTGGCACATTGCTCAAAATGCGACCTCAAGGAGAACCTTTGGCTTTGTCTCACCTGCGGCGCGCTCGGCTGCGGACGCAAGCTTTACGGTGCCGCAGGTGGGAACGGCCACGCGCTCGCGCATTTT